TCAGTAAATATTTTAACATACTGTAATTCCAGAAATTCTTCACACTTTAATTCAGGCTAACTATTGACTTTTAATGCACCCTGCACTGTAGTAGCTGGACATCACCTGAAGTTCTTTAAGGAGCAATCTTTCATCTTAATGTGGCTGATCCAGAAGTCTCATTTTATTTCAACATGTTGCCATGCAGAACAATCCCAGTCTTGGTTCCCAAGCTCATCTTTCTGCTATTGGGCTAGAACGATCTGAGGCAGCAGACTGCTCCTTCCCTGAGGCAATGCAAGCAACTTACCTTGTTCCTTAGCAGAATCCTCTGTGTGACACATGGAGCAATACTGACAATCACCCAAGGCAGATGATTCCAGCCCTCCTTAGTGGCATGGAAGGTCATTGCAATAAGAGAATTTTGAGAGAGGGATGGGAAAGGAAAATAAATGGTGGAATCCCAGAGAACCCACTTACTGTGTAAGGTATTGCAACATTGGGCCCTATGCTGTAAATAAAATTGATGCCACTCAGATTATTTGACTTCCCTATTTGTGGATTCAAAACTAAACAATGCATTTTGTTTGTAGGTGTTTGTTTCTTTTACATAGCAGGTTAAAATGGGCGGGGGGGGAATCTGCGTTGATTCTGCTTTATAACTCAAAGCAAATAAAGATTTCAAGATGATTACTGCCAACAATTCTTAGAGATTATGATAAAAAGGGGGAAGGGGAAGAATATAATATACCTCTACCTCGATATAACGCTGTCCTCGGGAAACAAAAAATCTTACCGCGTTATAGGTGAAACGGCGTTATATCGAACTTGCTTTGATCCACCGGAGTGCGCAGCTCTCCCCACCCCCCCAGAGCACTGCTTTACCGTGTTATATCCGAATTCGTGTTATATCAGGTCGCGTTATATTGGGGTAGATGTGTAATTTGAACAAAACTTTGAACTATATAAACACTATGAAAGGAAGGAATGCTTTAGGGTTTACCTACAAGTAATGAAATTTTATTAAGCAAAGAAAAGTTAAGGCTGAATATCAGAAAACCCATAAGAAAGCAAAATACTCTGACAATTTTTTATTAAATTGTATTTCAGAATTATGAAAGAATTATGGGGCAAACTCAGATCTGGTGAAAGTATGAATTTGGTTTGATGTTTATGCTAGCATTCTGTTCAAGTATGTCCATCTGTCCAGGTATTTATAACATGCCTTGTCCATGATATGAGTGAAACTAAAGTTACAGAACGCAAACAGTCTGGAAGATTGTAATCTTCCCCTTGCCTCATATGTATCAAGAGTTTCTTTAGCTGTTTTTAGGGGGAAGGGAATTTCTGTTTTTGTGTAAACACACTGCCTTTAGAGAATTTATTGTGGGAAAGCTAATGTGAACAGTTGAGTAACACTCTGATGCATGACTTTTGTCCTAACTTTCAAGTAGAGTAACAAACTTCTTGACTATCTAACTGAAATATTCATTAGAATATTTACCTACTTGCATATTCAAAAACAACAGTTGTTGTTTTAATACCCTCCACGCTAAATGTCATATAAGCAAAGCAACAGGAACAAGGACAGCTCAAAAATTGAAAAGATGACATCCACATGTATTTAAATCATTATTAATAGATGCATATTTTGCAAACAAACACTTTACCTTATGCCATGGTTTTCCTGGTAATAATGTCTCTTGTAGGCTAGAATTTAACCAAGATACATCCAAAGTCTGATGATTTCTACATAATCTTATCCTTGCATGTCCAGATGTTCCTCCAACTTTATCCATTTCATGTGATATTTTCATCAGACACAGATTTCCTTATGTGCTCGTCAGCTTTATGCAGAACTTCTTAATTATATGATGCTGAAAAACCTCAGTCAGGGAAAATCATTAACATATATGTTACAATCTAGCTAGAAATATTATTTAAGAAAGTTATTTCTTCTCCGTGATGACATTTTTCCAATCCATCATTCCAGCAGCCATTTAAAACTTCTTATTCTGAACTAAATTACATATTTCAATAGTAACAGAAATTACAGAGGAGCTGGGTGCACAGTGCTCAATCCATACTGAATTCCCACTAGAAGTCCAGTGTATGGAGGACGTACAAGATCAGACCAATAAAGACACAGAGTTCCTGTAGCATCACTAACTTACATTAGCACCTTTGTACAATTTTATAAATCATTTACTCTTTTGTCCAAATTCATGTTGAAGCAAATCCCCATTAAACTTCAATAGGAACTGGCCCATAGCTTCTAGAAGACTTCTCAGGATTTGGGACAATTTCCCCCTCCCAATCCATACCACACAAGGCCCTATGCAAAGTCCACACTGAAGGATGTGATTTTCACAAGTGTTGACCAGCCAAAACTCAATGGGATCTGTGGGTGCTCAGCACCATTTAAAATCAAGCCTCAGGTGCTTAAATGGGGCATAGTGTACTAAAAGACACTCTCGTTCAGGTAAGAATGTTGTATAGACTATATCACTAAGTAATGGCAGATTAATGACAGATGAATACATTAATATCTGTGTACACTTTTAGGTTGTAAAGTGTTTATATACATAAAAGTATCATTAGTACAATGAGTGCAATTTAAAATTCAGCATTTACTGTTCTGCACTAACTGCAGTACCATATATATTATTCTCAATTACCACAAGGAGATATAAATGCTGAAGTTTTTAAATAGCACCTACTCTATTATTTTAATGACTCAGGCCCTGATCCTACAAAGATTAATACATGTGCTTAACTTTACACACTGTGTATCTCATTGAAGTCAATAGGACAATTCACTGTTTAAAGTTAAGTATGAGTCAGAAGGATTGGGGCTTTAATTAAGAGAAACGAGAGAGGAGCTACTGAATTAGGGTTCTATCTTTAAGTTGTACTGAAATAATTAATTTAAAAGTTTTTATAACTTTTGTATAAAAAAGTCCCCTTGGGCTGAAAACTGAGAGACACATTCTCAGATCCAAAAGCATTTTCTCTGTAATAGTTTTGCATATAAAACCAATATATTACATTTCTATTATGTTGCACTTTTACAACTGAGAAACATTTATTTTTAAAATAGGGACCTAGGATTCAGGATCGATGTGTATTAATCACTGTAAGCCCCTGTCCTTCAGGGATGCACCACATGGACAAAGGGGTGTGCCCAGAGAGGTCACTTTGCAAGATGCACACCTTAATTTCTGCTTTAATTGTCAAAGTGAGAAACAGTATTGTGCTCAGTTTACCAAGCGATCCAGATCACTCAGTATCAGTGATCTGTCCTCTTTATTATTTACCATTCCCCCAATTTTTGTGTCATCTGCAATCTTTATCGGTGATAATTTTATGCTTTCTTCCAGGTCATTAATAAAAATTTTAAATAACATAGGGCCAAGAACCAGTACCTGAGGGACCCCACTAGAAACACAGCCATACTAAGATGATTCCCCATTTACAAATACATGTTGAGACCTATCAGTTAGCCAACTTGTAATCCATTTAATGTGTGCCATGTTCATTTTATATCTTTCTATTTTTTTTTAATCAAAATAGCATTAGGTACCAACTCAAATGCCTTTATCTCTCTCTTTCAGATACTTATGTGGCCTCCATTACCATAGTATCTAAGCATCTTACAATCTTTAATGTTTTTATCTTCACAACAGCCCTGTGAGACAGGGAAGTATTATCATCACTCAATTTACAGATGGGGAAATGAGGCACAGAAAGAGAGACTAAGAGTTAGTCTACACATGAAAATAAATCTGTAATGTGAATTTAAAGCAGATTCTTGATTAACTCCATGTGCAGATGCTTTTATTCTGAAATAAGAACATCCACACATGGAGTTAATCAGGAACAGCTATTCCAGAATAACTCCCTGTGTACACAAGCACTAAGTGACTCGCCCAAGATCATACAGGAGTCTGTGGCAGAGCTGGCAATTGACTCCAGATCTGCTGCGTCCCAGGCTAGCACCCTAACCACTGGACCATCCTTCAAAGATCCAAATCACAAAAATCTGAACCCCACCACCACAGTACAAACCCCAATAAATATTTAAACCTTTACAGAGCTTCAAATAAAAAAATCATAATACTTTGCACATATAGTGCTCTGATTCAAAGCACCGGACAAACATTAATTTACCCGTCAGTAGGTATTGACACATTTTACAGAGAAAACTAGGGGTTAAGTGACTTCCCAAATTCAGGCCGGGGCAGAGCCTGGATGAGAAATCATGACTCCTGCTTCTCAGTTGTGCTCTTAGTCCACACCTCACTCCCAATATCCAGGTAATTTGAGTCATAACTCTCCAACTTCACTCCTACCGTTCGCCCCCTCATCCGTGGCCCCCACTGCCACATTCACCCTCATAGGGCACCTACCAGCTTCATCAAAATCCAGCCCCCAGCACCTTCAACTAGGGTGACCAGATGTCCCGATTTTATAGGGCCAGTCCTGATTTTTGGGTCTTTTTCTTATATAGGCTCCTATTACCCCCCACCCCCTGTCCCTTTTTTTCACACTTGCTATCTGGTCACCCTACCTTCAACTCACTAGCACCTGCAGACAACACCCTCCAAAATCCCTGCTCCTCGCCTTCCTCCATCTCTCCCTTCGGCCCACGGGCGGCCCCCTTCCTTTCCTACCCTCTCTTCTCAACCCCCTCCTCAACCCCCGACCCCCACCCAATCTTCCTCGCCCCTCTCCTCTTCCTCACACCCTGACTGCCACCGCTCAAACCGCTCACGCCCCAGCTCCTCTCCTTCCTCCCCCGACCCCTCACGGCTCTCAAACGGCTCACCCCCACCCCGGCCTCCGCCCCACAACTCCCCCGTGCCCCCTCCTCACCATCTGCCTCCCCCTCCCCCGCGGGCTCGGCTGCTCGCTGGACGCAGGGCCTGAGCCTTGTTGCTATGGCGACAAACAGCTCCGGGCCTTCCTCCTCCTCCAGCTCCTCCTCTTCCCACAGCCGGTAGTTGCTGCGGCTTCTTCCCCCGCCCCCAATTTAGCCCAGGCGTCAGCGATGGAGGCCTTGGGAGGCCGCGGTCCGGGCAGCAGGGCTGGGCACGGCGCCCCGGCCGCGTTATGAGGTAAGGCTGCGGGGGCCGGGGTGATTTGCCCCTCTGGCTCCGCCCCTTACCTGCGCTGCGGCGGATCTGCCCCGGGCTCTGTCCTCGGGCCGTGTAAACGGGGATTGGGCCCTCGCTGTCTAGTGCCAGGGTGGAAATGGAAAGGGGAGGGTGTTGCCCCTCACAGTTTATCCCCACCTCCACTGCCTTATCTGGGGTTCAAATGGAATTGGGGGGAATTTGTCCCCCACCCTCCGTGCAAATAGAAGGGGGGCATTTGCCCCTCCCTGTCTGCCCTCTCTCCCCCTGCCCCCTTGCTAGGGGAGGAAGGTGGAAGGGGAATTAGCCCCACTCCCACTCCCACCCCTGGGTGGAGATGAAAGGGGGCATTTACCTCTCACTGACTGGTGCTGCCCACCCACGTTCACCTAGGCTGGCACAGGAGGGTGTGTATGTCACCCCCTCTCTGTCCCTGCTGGGAAGGGAAAGTGGGGATTGGTGCTCCTCTGGGTGCTCTTTTGTTCATGACCGTATTTACCTGGCATCAGTGTCTTTGCCTTGGGAGGAACTCAGCAGTGGTGCCATCCCAGAGCAGCAGGGTGACATTCTGATGTGATGGTGTCAGGCCAGGATGCTGTGTTGGGTCATCACCACACTGTGACAGATAGATGTTTTGTAGGCTAGACAGGTGGCTTCAGAACCTGTTTGCAGGACACCATTTCTGATAAACCTGGGAGCATCCCATAAACTCAGGCCTGAGTAGGAGGAGCCGACATGTTGAAAAAGTAAAATTAAAGGGAATTTAAAAAAAATGTGTTTCGGTCAGTGTTCAGAGAGTAGATTTAAGATCTATTAATTAAAATACAAAATGTTTGTTAATATATATATATAACATTAGGGTGCCTATTAAACACTTAAATTAGGAAATGAAAAGAATTCTCATAGTAACATTAACTCAGCCATATTATGCATTCTATGTGTTTTATAGTATGATTTAATAATAAATGCAGTTTTTTAAAAGTTCTCTAAACAGGTAAACTGCCATGGGCTGATTCTGCAAAGCCTTACTACTAAGCGAAATGCTCTATTAAAACAATGGAATTACTTACAATATAGGAACTACTTTGTCCTGGTAGTTTTTGCAGGAGCAGGTCAGAAACCACCAAATCAAGAATGCTAATTACATTAATCAGTTTTAGCAACATAAATATTAAGGGCCTGATCCTGCAAACCCACGCATGAGAAACTTTATTCATACACTCAGTGGTCTTGTTGACTTCAGATCTTTGGATTACTCACACACACTAAGTACAGTACATGAGTTTTTGCAAGACCGAGGCCTACAATATGATCGTAGGACAACAGATAATATATCCGTAATAGCTCTGAATGTTAGTGAGAAGTTTTACTGTGCATGCAGTTTTTCTTAAATGCTAATAACCCAATTTTTTTTTTACAAATTAGCAGAATCTAGTTTTGTTTCAAATGTTAAGTCTTTGCTAATGTAGATATGTGCACAAATAGCATATTGAGGTTTTCTTGCAATTCAGATTGTATGTTTTTCATGCTTGCATAACTGAAAAATAGGTCAATAGATTTTACTCAAACTTCCCTACATGTCCAACAAAAGAAACATTTTTGAGAAAATGGTGAGCAACTGAAAAGGGTTTATAATGAAATCCCAACTAAACCACAACTGTAGTGTTTGCTACCAGATAAATATTGTAAAAATACTTTGCACTTCTGTGCTATCTTAATCCAGTAATCTCAAAACACTTTCCAAAGAATATCTAATGAAACAATACACCATTCCTGGGGTGTATATAAGAACTATTATACCCATTTGACAGATGGGGAGACTGAGGCACAGAAGTGAAATGAATTGCCAAGGGACACAGTGAGTAAATGACAGCACTGGGAATAAAACTCAGATCTCTTGCTCTAACCATTAGACCACTCTTTACTGTCTGCAATTGCCTTTGGACCTAGATTCTCTACCAACCCTAACCCAGTCCCACATATTAGCTCTTTATTTCCTGCTTTCTTCTCCCTCCCAGGATTACATTGCCTATGCAAAGCCCCCATATGGTGCATGCTCTTCCCAGTGCCTTTTAAAAGTGGATTAACCTGGTTCCACTCACTTCCCCAGACAGGATAATCTCATCTGATAATCCCATAATGGCACTCAGTTTTCAGTACTCACTGGATTTTGATTAGACTTGTCTGTGTCTAAATATATGCCATTTTATGGATGCTTAATTGTGTAGTTCCCATCCCCCACCTTTATTATTTCCTTCTATAATCTCATGATGGTTCCCAACCTTTTTCTGTAAATTTATATATCATGTTAAAACTTCTGCTACACAAGCTAGTGCCTCTGTCTCCTCCTATTCAGCTGGGTGCTTTCTAATTTTCAGTGTAGCTTTGGCTGTTCCAGACTGTATGTTTGGCAGCCCATTGAGGGTTACAGTATACATCACTGAATGATCATCAGGATGGCCAAAAGGCTGTGTATTTCAGAGAGACAATTCTCTTTTCCTAACTAAATGGAACACTGCTCCTTTAAACATGGCTTTTTCCCCCCCTTTAGGAGACATAGCAGTGAGACAAAAGAATCTGGACCAGAGAGAGATCCGTTCAACGCCATGCAATCAAATTGCAGTCATCTCCACAATGCCCCAGGAAGTGGTGATGTTCCCTCATCCACTCAGAGTGCCCATACAGCAGGGCTGCCAGGAGAAGGCTCTTGCCACCATAGTGGAGATGTTCACGTCCAGCTAAGCTCTGCCTTGGGAGAAGCTGGGGAAAACCCCAGTTTCAGGCACATACGGTCAGGTTCCCAGGGCCGTTCACATGGCCACTCCCACAATGAAGCGAGGGGGCCCGAAGATTCCACCTTAGATTCAGAGGAACACAGTGGCAGCTCCATCTCTGAGCTCAGATATCTCTTCCAGTGGCTGCACAAAAGTCTTCCATACATCTTGATTCTGTGTATCAAACTGACCATGCAGCATATAATCGGTAGAGTATAACAGAGTATGGTATGAGGGAACCAGCCCTTTTTTCCTGCATTCAATCCTGCTTATGAGCATGCCTGAAGTATAATTTGATTTACTTTTAGCTTTATTTTAATTTGATTTCTTCACTGGAAGGAGAAATTTCCTAAAAGAGATTTCAATCACTTATCTGTTTTTCTTTTGTTAGCATATACAATGTAGCTTAATTATTTTAGCTTGATTGCCTGAGCTGTTAAAATTGTATTATGTTATTGCAAGTACTTGCTAGAAGTGCATTTATTTTGCTCTTATTTTATTTTAATCCAGTTTCTTATTTTCCTCCATATAACTGACCCTTTTTCCTAATAGGCATTTCTCTTGGAATTGGGCTGCTAACAACTTTTATGTATGCAAACAAAAGCATTGTAAATCAGGTTTTTCTAAGAGTAAGTATTGCCTGTTGCAATGAAGTTGAAGTGTTTTTACGTTAACTATTACCCAAGACTTCCATGAATCAAGTTTTTGAGAGAAATGTGAACTGATCTTATATTAATTTAGTAAACAAAACAGATAAATATCATAGGATTTTTGAGATGTAAATGTTTTAGCTATCAATAAAATTTACACACTTCTAAGCCTGACTTAGCACTTGTCAGAGAAGCATACTTTGCAAATTTAAAATAAAATATTGGTACAATCTCTTTTTCTGACTTTCCATATCGAAATGCCCGACAATGCTTCTGCCGTTATGAGACAGAAATTCTTAGCTGTATTTTAAAAACTGTTAAGACTACCATTTCATATGCAGAGTATCTGTTATGAGGGCACAGGGGTTATTGAGAATTTTGTTACTTTGAAAAGCAATTATATATATAAACATTAAACATATAAAAAACATTAAACAAAAACATTTCCTTAAGAAGTGTTACTGCTTGGGCGTTCATCCCATTAAAGTGCATGGAGATCTGTGTGAGCACAATGATCTGCCCTTGCACTTCTTCTTCCTGGTCTAAAGTAACATAGCAGCATCTAGTACTAGTGACTCTGTTCAAATACTGCAGTTGTAGTTTTATTGAGTGTGAAAGAAATTAACTTGAGACTTAAAAAAAAATCAAAGTAACAGACAACTATTACATTTTTAATGTGTATCTTACAGGAAAGGTGCTCCAAGTTGCAATGTGCTTGGGTACTGATATTCCTAACCGGGTCATCTCTCCTCTTGTATTATACCTTTCACTCTCAGTCACTTTATTACAGGTAATTAGCAGAACATCTATGTTATATTAGTCACTTTAAATGAAATGTCATTTCTTGTGAAAACCTCATCTTTGCTCCTGGCATTTTTTTTTTAAAGAGAATCAAGAAGTTGGCTTCTCTTAACACAAATAAATAAATAAATGATGGGTCCAGTCCCGCAAAGCCTTACTGCAAAACACTAATGTGAAGAAGGGTTTGCAAGATTAGGCCCTATGTCTGGGGTTCACTGGCACAGCTTGGGTTTGAGTCTCAGCCCTATTACCCCTTGGTGTGGGAGTACTGGGGATACAGTGCCATGAGTTTCTAGCAGGGCATGTGTCTAAGTTTCTTCTCTCACTAGTTTACAACAACCCTGCTAACTAAGGGGCAACATTGGCAGAATGGGAAAGGGAGCAAGTACCTGTATGGCAGGATAAAGGTTACAATGCAGATGTAAAGTGGATTTGAAATGGGGAGCGCTTCATGGATGACAAAAGATCTCTCTTTCCCACTCCTCCTAGAGGAAAACATTACACTATCTAAACATGCTTTTTTTTTTTTTTTAAATGTACCATTTTAAATGAAACTGTACACTAATATCCATTCATGGTGTGTACCTCTGGAGAGTGTACCCTCGTAATTTTAGATATTTCTTTTTGTAGCTTAATCTTTTTAAAACCTACTGTGGATTTTCTGAACTTCTGGGAGGTACTTTGGATCGTGGGAATCACAGACTTTATTCTGAAATTCCTCTTCATGGGCTTCAAATGCTTTATTCTCTTGGTGCCTTCTTTTATGATGTCTTTTAAATCCAAGGTAAGAAAATAATCTATACTTAGCTTTAGCATGAAGTTCCTTTTACAGTACAATCAGCCAGTCATGAATTCCACCTAGAGGAACATTTTTCTTAATTAAAGCTCTGCGCATTATCTGTCCATGCAGGGGAAGGGAAAAACCATTGTCAACTATTTTTTGAGTATGGTCTTTCAGCTAGTTGTGCATCCATTTTATAGTAATTTAATCTAGACTGCATTTCCCTTGTTTGGTTATGAGAATGTCATGTGAGACTGCATCAAAAGCCTTACTAAAATCAAGTTATGTCACATTTACTGCTTTCCCCTAACCACCAGGCCCAGTAACCCTTTTAAAGATAGAAATTCGGTTGGTTTGGCGTGATTTGTTCTTGACAAATCCATGATAGTTATTCCTTATTGTATTGTCCTCTAGGTGCTTATAAATTGATTGCAAAACTGTTTTAAAAGGGAGAGCATGGAGCTTTTAAAGAATACAGAGTAACTTGGGGGGGGAGGTGAATGGAGTTCTGATTTACATGTGGTTGTAAAATAAAAGGCCTTTTCTTAACCCCCGTTTTTCTCAGCATTATATATGCGGACAATTTTTAACAGAAAATTGATCTCTATGTTTGGATTTTTCTTGTAACTTTTTCCCTTTTTTAATGCTTATGAAAGCAAGACTGATAACACTGGTAAGTAGGTAGGCACTCATAGAATATCAGGGTTGGAAGTGACCTCAGGAGGTCATCTAGTCCAACCCCCTGCTCAAAGCAGGACCAATCCCCAGACAGATTTTTGCCCCAGATCCCTAAATGGCCCCCTTAGGGATTGAACTCACAACCCTGGGTTTAGCGGCCAATACTCAAACCACTAAGCTAACCCTACTTGCCAAAGACACCCCTATTCTGATCTTATGTACCTTGGTTTTTCTGGCCTTCTCTTGAGCAGAGCCTGCTAGTTATGCATTTGTTTTATGCTAGTTGACAAATGTCAACTAGCGACTTGCCAAAGATCATCCGTTTTGTTTTGTTTGTCTTGTTTGTAACACCGTGCAGTTTTGTAACTCATACATGTATGGGATTTTAATGACTCAAGTTTCCAAACAGTATTTCAGATCCGTTGAGACACTAGTTAAGATATAATGAGGGATAAATATTAAAAAGAGAGTACATATATAGAAAAGATGCATTAACTTTAAATTATCTGTGTTTTAAATGTATTTTTAAATATTCCTCTTGTTGTTCCTAGGGCTACTGGTATATGCTGTTAGAAGAATTCTGCCAGTATTACCGTACGTTTGTCCCCATACCAATTTGGTTTCGTTACCTTATTGGCTATAGGGAGCTGGACAATGTACTGGGGTGGAGTCTTGGAGTATTGCTGGGTCTGCTCTACTTCATCCTAAAAGTATGTAAATGTTATCCTTCCTCTGTATTTTAATGTATTAAAATGATACTGCAGTAATTACCATAGAAGAGATGTAGACATACAAATGAATTTATTCTGAAATATTCCCCAGAGTTTGAACTGACTTGCTGGTTAAATACAGCCTTCCAAAATCAATATAAAAATTTGCTAGGTCAGGCACTAAATCTGTTCACCCTCCCTTTGAAGGATGATTAGAAAACTAATGATGTTTTACACAGTCCAAAAATTGCTTTCCACAGCTGAGTGTGAGAGTAGGGATTCTGTCTGAACTAGTTGTTAATGCCAGGATGGCTATATATGTTTTGTGTCCTTCAAGCTAAGATCACTGGGTTGCTCTCACTGTTGGAGAGTTCAAGTTCTGAATTTCACTTTAACACAGCAAGCACTAGGGCATTCTCAGGGTGGCGGGCCTGACCCTCTGTTACCTGCTGTGTCTGGGAGGTCTGCCGGAGCCTGAGTTTGGCAAACTTCATGGCACTATTGTGCTTTTGAGTGACCTTTGTAATAATAGGGAATCAGGTTGGTGTCTTTGTTTTTGTTAATTAGAGACTTCTGTTATTGTTTGTTTTTTGTAATTTTGCTGTAGAGTGCCTATGTGCCTTTGTACTGCCAAAGTAAGACCAAACTTGAACTAGGGTGGAAAAAAAATATTAAGAACTTGTGGACAGAATGTGGAGTAATGCACCAAATAATAGTCTTAACTGTTACTGTAGACTTCTTGTAGGCAGTATGTAAACAAATTGCCAAGGGAGATAGGCAGAATTCCAGTTAACGAAACCCTCTCCTTTTGGAAAATCTTGCATTATGTAAAATTGTTGCTTTGGGCTTCCATTCCACTATTTTAACTTGTCAGCTTAATCTGTTTTTCCTCAACATGGCTTAAAACCTCCCCGTCACAAAGGGAAATTGGGTGTCAACTCCCATTGACTTTCAGTGTAGTTGGGTACCTAACTCCCTTTTGTCCCTTTGACACTATCCCACTCTGTGCTTATACTAGGCATATCCACAACTATCTTGGTTTGGTACAATTTATATATAACACAGCAGCTGTGTTCTATTGTTTACTATACACATGCAAAATTAAAAGATCATTATGTTAAAAAAACATTAAGATTGCAAAGTTAAGTACTCACAAGTTAGGCAATGCTAGATATAAAGTTGCCTGTGCCACCTTAATTTGGTCCCCTTGTGTGTATGCACTATGGTACAGTCTTTAATTACATGATCGCTTACTATTTTTTTCCAGTGAGGACAGATTCTTCTGAGATATTAGCTGCTGAAATCTCAGAAGTCTCTACTGAGTATACATGAACTATAATTTTTAAAGGTAAATAATTTGGCCAAATATGAATAAATTTTCATGGGGATGGCAGAAGGCACATCCCTGACACAGACATTTCGCTGCCAAATTTCAAGTCCCTCCTCCAAAACATGGGGGTGCGAGAGCATCTCAAAGAAAAGGTTACCAGAATTTTTGTAACATGGGCAAAACAATATATTTTACCCTAGTCTCATTTTTGGAACAGCTCAACCATTTAGGTTGAAATTTTGCACAAGAGTTCAGCCTGAGGCAGACACCCAGCATGGAAAATTTCAGACTTAACAGTTAAAATTTGGCAAAGTTTATAAGCAACCGAAAGCATGGTTTTAAAAAGGGGAAGTGTTGGGCAACTCAGTAATAAGGAGAGCTATCAGTCCCACCTACAATTGTTTCGTTACCAGACTAAAAGTAAAACACTGAAGGCCAAGTGTGCAAAGTGTTGCATGGAATTTTAGCACTGAGGCTCTTCACTTCAAAATCTGCACAAAGTTTGAAAATCTAGCTCTTGGAAATAAATATTAAGCATAATTTTGTTTTTCTTTTCTCAATTTCAGCTTTTGAGCCTTTTTGGACGTCTGAGAAACTTTAGACAGGTTTTGCGGATATTTTGTACACGACCAGTGAGTATTGGATTCTCTGTAACAACAAAATGACAAATGTGGCTTCTACAAAAATGATTCTTCTCGAAAATAGCTTTTTCCTGTGTACTAGTTGATCACATTATGTTCTTTTAGTTACATGGAGTTCAACTTTCAAAGTAATCCCACTGTTTGTTCCCTTCTTACAGTTTCTTGCACTGTAAAATTTAATTTCTCAGCTTCATGATCATGGGCCGACCTGAAGTCACTTTAAAAGTGATCAGTTTTTTATTGTGTAAGCAGCATCTTGAGGTAAACTATTTGAATACCATGTAAATAAAGTATGATGTAAAGAATATATTTTAAAACTGGGCGAAATATTTGTTTGACTCACATCTGCAAGAGCAAAGTAGCAAACCTTTACCCATTAGCAACTAACTGAAATATACAAGAGTAAGACCCAGATCTTGGCAAAATAACTGAAGAATAAATAGATATTCCATTCAGAATAAAAAATTATTCTTTTTCTAGAATAGTGGGTGGTTGATAAAATGTATTGTAATTTAATCTAGAGCCTGCTGTGCATGTACCAGAATATATAGGAGTATTTTTGACATTTAATTAGATTAATACTAAAATATCTTACGCTGTCTGCGTAAGCAATACTTTCTTAACAGTAAGTGATGTGTTTTCATTCTGGTCAATGTGTAACAGCCCATGACAGAACTCTGCTGCAGGAAGGCCACCATTGTAGCAAATTACCTCTAAAGTCCCACATAGTGTGCTCAGTAGATTAGACCCAAATGCCACCTTGCCCTGGAGCATGTATGTGTCAATGTAGCACCCTAAGGATTGAAACACTTAACATCCTGTTGCCCCAGGGATTTAATTGTTTCCCCTCTAACCACATCCTTTCAGTCTTCCTGATCTTTTTCTGGATCGTAACATCTGCTACAAAATCTCTTTTTTAACAGCACTATGGAGTGACAGCTAGCAAGAGACAGTGTTCTGAAGCAGATGATATTTGTTCAATATGCCAAGCTGAATTTCAAAAGCCTATTCTTCTCATCTGCCAGGTAATTCTAAAGAGATTTTTGAAGTGGAGAATCACAATGTGGGGAGGCGCCTGTTCTGAAACTTTGTGAATCAAGCTGATGTTGACAGTGCAGCTTTATGGGAAAAACTTGTAGATGCTTGTGAATGGGAAACTCCCTTTTGATGGAAGAGTCCTGTAAGTCTTGCTAGCTTGCGTATATTTGCCTGCAACTTTTTTTTTTAAATGTTTGAAATTTTATATTGTATGCTAAAGGCAGCAGCTGTCAGTACTATGTTGTATGGGAACAGTTAATACTGGCAACTATTCAACAAGGGATTGGACACTTATATGGATAAAAGAATATACAGCGTTGATGCTAACAAATTTTGGAAGCGCTTAAATTTCATGCTTCAAAGACTAAAGAAATATTGAACTACTATGGATTAGGAGGTTTTTTTGCACCTTCCTCTAAAGCATCTAGTGCTGACTGCAGTCAGAGACAACATACTGAACTAGATGGACCATGAGTCTGATTTAATATGACAATTCCTGTGTTTCTTAGGAGATCTGAAGACACTATACACTTGGGGTAGAAAAAGCATATCAACTTGTTCTCACTTGACTGCGCTGTCTATGCAGTAGTTAACTCCTGTCCATTTACTTCTAGAATCCTTGCAAGTCTTCATACTGCTGATGCTTTGCAGTGTGTGTGTGTTTGTTTAATAAATAAAGTAATTGCTGTTGCTACAGGTATGGTTGGTAGCACTGTCTATGGTTAAGGTTGCTCAACATTTCCCATTATATGACCCTGTTTTCAGTTGCTTTTAACTTGCAAAACTTGAACCATTCGGGATGAAATTTTCCATGTTGGGTGTCTGCTTCAGACTGATTTTTGTTTGTTCATTTGTTTTTGAAAATTTCAGCCAAAATAGTCCAGCCACTTCTGAAAATGAGGCTAGGAAAAAATACATTTGTTAAAAAAAATTCTGGTGAACTTTTCTTTTAGTGGCTGTCTAGCTCCCTAGTGCTTTGGAGCAGAAACGCTAAATGCATCAGGAGGTTGCCTTTGTGACAGGGATGTACCTGTTGTGCTCCCCATGAAAATCTGCCCAGGGCTCAGGAGGACTTTTTCCTGCAATTGCAACTTGGGGCTGCTGCAGCCAGGGCTGTGTCTGGGCACCTGAACTGAGTGCAGGGAGCCTGTCTTTCCTGTGCTTTCAGTGACCCCCCTTCTCGGTCCAGGCAGCATGGAGGATAGAACCACCTAATCTGAATGCAAGGCGGGGAGGGGGATAAGAGCTTGACCTGCAAGGGGGGTAGATTGGCACAAGGAGCATAGGGGTGGGGAAGAGAGGAGAAGGCGTTAGAGTGGAAGGATAGATTGGGACTGGAGATTGGCAGGGGGAGAGGGAAACTTGGACTGGGAGCTGGGGTAGGGGGAGACTGGAACTGAACCAGTGGGGCCAGGAGAAAGAGGAGAGGGGGAGACAAATCTGAGGATCTAGAGTATGGGAGTCAGAACTGGGACTGTTTGAGCCAAGAGACTGGGCCAAGGAGTGGAGGGACACAAAGTGGGACTGGGAGGTAGTGGGGATGAGCAATGTGTATGCAGGGAGAGACAGATTAGATTAGGAACTAGGATAAGAAGGAGCTGGGAATGGCTGGGGAAGGAGAGTGGGACTAGGGTGAAAAGCCTGAGAAAAGGAGTCTGGGACTAGGTAGCAAGAACAGAACTGGGTGAGGAGCCAGTAGTGAGGAATAGACAGGCACTAGGACCAAGAGGAGCGGATAGGTCAGAAGGGGCCACACTTGGTGGGGAAATGAGCAGAAATTTGTGCCCACTAGAGGACACACTCCTCCAAAGCCAGGAATGGAACCCAGGAGTCACCATTCCTCTTGTGCCAGCAAATAAGTATGAAACAGGGTGTGTTTCATCGCCTCTAGTGCTGGTCCATATGGAGCAGGGGGTCTCAAACATGCGGCCATGCAGGCCGCGGGGTTCTTCCCTGCGGCCCGCCAAGCTCCCCATGCCCCCCCCGCCCCTCTGCCTACCCTATGGTGCCACGAGCCCCGCACCACTCCCTGAAGCAGCTAGAACTATGGCCCTGCAGCCCCGGGCAGGGTGGTGGGGGGAGGGGGGTAGAGGGCTCCATGCTCTCGCTTCCAGGCACCGCACCCCCCGCAGTTCCCTTGGCCGGGAACGGGGAACCGCGGCCAATGGGCGCTTTGGGGGAGGTACCTGGAGGAGTAGCAAGAGCAGCACATGGCACTGTTTCCCCCCGCCCCCAGGACTCCGGCTGCTTCCTGGAGCGGAGCGGGGCCAGGGCAGGCAGGCAGGGAGCCTGCCCTGGCCACGGTGCGCGGCGCTACCACACCGGAGCCGCTCTAGGTAAACGGCACCGGGCCGGAGCCCGCACCCTTCCTGCACCCCAACCTCCTGTCCGGAGCCCCCTGCCACATCCCACACATCCCTCCTGCACCCCAACCGCCTGCTGCACCCCTCACCCCTCCTGCACCCCACACTCCAACTCCCTGCCCTGAGCCCCCTGCCGCACCCCACACCCCAACTCCCTGCCCTGAGCCCCCTGCCATACCCTGCACACCTCCTGCACCTCAACTCCCTGCCCTGAGCCCCCTGCCATACCCTGCACCCCTCCTTCACTCCCTGCCCTGAGCCCCCTGCTGCACCCCCTTCACTCCCTGCCCTGAGCCCCCTTGGAATGGGGGCAGGGAAGAGGCGGGGCAGGGGTGGGGCCTCATGGAAAGGGTGGAGTGGGGGTGGGGTCAGGGGCAGCAAGGGGTGGGTGTCAGTGATGTGGCCCTTGGGCCAATGCACTAGTCCTCATGCGGCCCTCTTGGTCATTTGAGTTTGAGACCCCTGATATAGAGGAAGACAAGCTAGTATTGCTATCATTTACTCCTTTAACTCTAATTTGCATAGGTCTGTGAGGTGGACCTAAAGGTTTTAGATCTCCTGATGAACCATCTGGGTGTTATTATGATGCTACATGAGGAAATTTGGGGTTTTTTTTTCAGATTGCCTTTTTAAGTAACACACCAGAAAAATTCTGTGTTAAAAGCACACTATTAATGTTGCAAAGTCAAAGGTTCACTGCTCGGAAATGCCACAACGTCTGTGCAACCTTGAGGTGACCTCCCCCACCTTGTGTGTAAGCATTGTGGTATTGTTTAATTATCCAATCACAAACTATTTTTTCCCACAGAACCTCTGCCTCATTCAGTGCACAGGATGCACCTGTTCTGGGGATGAATTAGGGTTATGTAGTTTAAAAAAAAGTCTGTAGAATTCTGCGTCATTTGTTGCAGAAGTTGGAAGGTGCGTAGCAACTGAGGCAGGGGATTGCAGGAATAGAAACAATGGGCTCATGGGTAAAACAGTTAAATTCTGCCCTTAAGAATTTGATTCTGTCCCTGTGTTTGCCACAGAGCTTTGCTTTGAACATACGAAGTGCTGTATAATGCGAAGGACTCTTAAAAATCAGGTCCTGCGTGTCTCAAATTGGTCACCCCAAATTAGTGGATACCTCATACCTTAATCCCTCTGTGATGTAGAAAAGCCCATAAGAAAATTAATAATTGTTTTCAGAGCAAAGTCCAAATAGTGTGCAGGAAATAAGGCATAGGGCCACTCATCAAACAAAATATTGAATGGCTGCTCATTAAGTGATCACCATCCATTCCGTGCACTGCATGAGGCAAGGGTCCTCTGCAAAAAAATAGGATATAATCATGTAATTAAATACTATCATAATACTTATGCACAGAGGGGCTGAATCAGCATTGCACAGGTAACCTTACTTCTGACATTTCCTAAGATCTGAATCCTTGAGTTTGCAATTTTAATATTTTTAGCTTGGTTTTATATGCAATTATGTAAGTAGAATAGTTTAGCAGAACCATTAATTATTAGAAGAGTAACTAGATTAATATTCTAAATGGATTTGAAAAACTGGTTGTAATAAATATTAGATCTTTTGTGCTCTTGCCGTTAAAAAAATGTCAAGTACTTGTCATTCTTTTCATTACAGCACATATTTTGTGAAGAATGCATCTCTTTATGGTTCAATAGAGAGAAAACATGTCCACTCTGCAGAACTGTTATTTCAGACCATGTTAACAAATGGAAGGATGGAGCCACTTCTATGCATCTACAGATTTATTAAAACATGTCATACTTTTACTTTTTTTTACAGTGTACATTCATTTGAATTAATGTTTTGCAGTTTAATGTGGATGGTAAAGGGATGTGTTTAAGATTAGCAAAGGACTATCAAATGTTCTAAAATCTGAGTTTATTAAAACACAGCATACATTGAAAACTGCCTTTTTATAGATAATTCTATAAAAAAAATCTTAAATTTAATGTTCAAAATCCAACATTTTGATTTTTTTTCCATACTTCAGAGAAATGGTCAAATATTTGAAAATGCTGCACGGTTAGTTACAGCAACTGCTTCCCTCATTGTTTTACATTATCTACAATAGTTTGCAGTGTTCCAGATTGTAGTAAATTGCATTTATTCTTATATGACTTTACCAAACACAGCAGCTAGAGATGTGGGCTACGATCTTACAACTCCTATGGACTTGAGTGGGAGTTGCAGAGCTACTCATCACACCCAAAGAGTAGACCCTTTAATGCTGAACCTGATCGTTCAGAGAAATGAGCCCTCTTTTTTCATGTGTTAGACCTATGTCATTAACAGTTTTTCATTACATTTTGAGGAAAATCATAAGAATTTCCCCCACTTAGGTCCACTGCAGACCTATAGGAATCTTTCTCCATCTTATGCTTACCATATAAGTTACCCAACCACTGCTGGAAGTTTTTTACTTAATATTTTATAAAGTTTGTATTTTCAAAACAAATCTTTAATACTATATTTTTGTCAAATATCAGGTAACCAAATTTTCTTAAAGGGGAGAATCTATTTTATATTATATATACATGATTTGTAGTGTGCATAGAATATAGAGAATAAATGCAGTTTAAATTCTTTTGGCTGGTG